ATAAAAATTAATTAGCGAAACTTGACCAGAGCTCGAATCAAGCTCGAATACAGCTCGAGCTGAGCTCGGCTCGAGATCGAACTCGAAATATTTAACTCGTCCAAGCTCGAGATCGAGCTCGAGCTCGTGAATTCTTATCAAGCTCAAGCTCAAGCATACCCATGCTCGGGCTCGGCTCGGCTCGTTTACACCCCTAGAATGGACCTTCGGTGCAAACTTTCTACAAGCAAGAGTGGACCTATATTTATGTGTTGTCATACGTTTGCTTTTCTCTTTAGTTTCCAATTTTGGTTTTTGTTTTGTACTTGACTTCATTGCTACGCATTGGAAGTCTCATTCAATACAATGCACCATCCTTTTTGTGAATAGTGAACTAATTTTTTTAATAGACCTAGATCAGTTTTTTGTCACATCACCTGCAATGGACCAAGAGCATTGGAGTTGCCCTTAGAGTGGTGAACAAAATTGCACTCTAATTTTAGTACTATATTTGTCATATCATAAGTCATAAATAATATTGTTGTCAATCTGTCATTATTTGGTAATAATTTGATGCATACTCCATATATGTTAAGTGGAACTCATTTGCTATTTTGCACATTTACATGGGTGACGAGAAATGAGTGCGGGGAACAATTTTTTCACATGGGTATCAGACATATATCCTCATCCCCAATTTAGTTATGTTTAGTTATATACGAGAATTGTATGTCTAGCCAATATTGTCCAAATAATACATAAATCTAGTTGTCCCTAAGATATATAGATTTATGTATTGTTTGGACAATATTGGTTAGACATACAATTCTCGTATGTCTAGCCAATATTGTCCAAATAATACATAAATCTAGTTGTCCCTAAGATATATAGATTTATGTTTACCACATAATTTGAATAAACCTCAATTATGTAAAGAAAACATAAATTACCTTTTGAGAAGCGTACTGATTTGCTAGGGGATTCGGGAAGTACGCTACAAACAAATGTATTTGCATCACCAATGAAGGTGGAATCACCGCTTTTACTTGGAAGAATCTGCCAAAAAGTGAAATGATAAAATTTTCATATTATCCGTATCATGTTCGCACACAAATTCCGTCTACTTGTGCTAAAAAGCACTTTTTAAAGTGATTTTGAAAAAAGTGATTAGCAGTAAAAGTTGATAGTGTTTGAGAAAAAAATGATTTTAAAAAGTAAAAGTTTGTATGTTTGGTAAATAAGTACTTTTATGTAATAGAAAAGGAAAAAAACACTTTTTGCACAAAAGTCGAGAAACGTTTTTTTAAGTAGAAGTTACTTTAAAACACTAATTTTAACATTTTTAAGCCAAAAACTGAGAAGCGCTTTTCTTACACAGTCCAATCTGAAAAAATGTTTTTCTCGAAATAATAATGACTCGAAAGGATAGTTTATTGTAATACAAATTTTTATTAAGGTAGTGTAATTTAACTAGAGAAATGTCACCTCATTTTTTGTGAAAAAATATCTATATAGAAGTAAAACTCGTGATAATTTGGAACCAAATAAGAAAAAGGAAATGACGTATTATAAAACTCTCATACATATTTTTTTTATTAAAATTTGGTAGATATAAGATGTTTACTTTTGGACTGTTTTCAGTCCCATAACAAATCACACCATACCATACCAGACCAGATCAGACCAGACCAGACCAGACTTCCGTAGTTATAAAATACACATAGACCAGAGTCCAGACGTTTACCAGACCAAATCAGTTCAAACCAGACGAGGCCAGACCAGACCAGCAAATTTCAGTTCAAAAGAAAACATCCACAATCACATTTGAAATGAAAAGACAAAAAGGAAATGAGGGATTGTATATGTAGGGGTAGGTCGGAGGAATCGAAAACCGAAAACCAAATCGTAAAAACTCGGAATGCAAACAACACAACCGAACCGCAAGAAAACCGAAAGCGAACTCAAAAAATCGAACCGAACAGTAGCTGTTTGGTTTCGGTTTTGGTTTTCACATCTCAAAACCGAACCAAACCGAATAAACTGAATTTTTTAAAACTTGGTATTTTATTAATTAATCATTAATTATAATATTTTGTTTAGTTCTTAATTCTTACTTCTAGAAAATTAATGTTTGATACTAGATGTATTATGATACTTCTAGAGAAAACATGAAACTTTAGATCATAACTATCTTTGTCTAAAAAGAAAGTAGAATAAGTTGTTTATTAATAAAAATTTAACTTGCGAATAAACGTACTCTCTAATTCATTGCTTCGAAGTGCATTTGTTTCTTCTCTCTCTTTTTAATTATGCATGTTTTTGTATTGTATTACTATTAATAATTGTTTGATGTATTTTATTTTTTTGTTTTTGTTTTCCAAATACTATTTTTCTAATCAACAAGATCGAATATTTTGGTATAAACCCCAAAACCCGAAACTGAACCGAAATAAACCGAATCGAACAATCCATGTTTCCAAAATTTTGAACATTAAAACCGAACCAAACTTTTACTTTGATTCGATATTTGAATTTAGGTGAAAATCGAACCGTTTGAACCGAATTCACCCCTAATTATATAGATACATGCGGTATGCAACACCATTATGTTAGGGGAAAACGAGACACGTGTCATATTGGAAAAGCTGATAAGGTTTTAGTATATAGGTAATTTTCTCTTTTTTGATTCACTTTATTGCACATTTGTATTTGGAAAAATTGAAATTAATAATCCAACCTCTTAGCGGTATTCTTATCATGGTCCCACCTTTTCGTTATTCATTAATAATCCAACATTTGTACCCCATCTTCACCCCATCTTCATTCGCTGGGCTCTGACCGATTGATAACCTATTATTCCAGGTTTTTTCATTTTCATTGCAAATCTTTCAACCATAAATCCCACCTTTCACAAATCTTCTGCAAGCGGTCCCACATATCATTTTTTATTTATTCTTCCTAAAACTTTTCCATTTTTATTTGAGAAAAGGGTCAGATAGGCCCTCGAAATGAATGCCTTCCCGATTGAATTTTTAGCTGAAATTTGGTATGAGTAAACTACACTTAATGAATAAGATGCTCAAAAAAAATTCATGAAAGAATTCCACCGCGAACTGCTCCAAATGACGACGGCCACAGAGCCTCCTATATAAGGGCTTATTTGACTTTTTTATGTAAGTTGAGGGCCTATCTGACCGTTTTCCCTTTTTATTTTTTTTAGTCTTGACTCTTTTATTCCCCCTTTTGCTCTTCTTATTCTTATTTTTATTACTTTTTAAGTTATTTTATTTTTTTCAATGTTTATGTATTCCATTTTTTCATATTTTGTCTTCTTCCCGTTTATTATTTCATTTTCATTTTTACATATTTTTCAGATTAGTTTCCTTATATAGATCTTTTCTTCACCGTACTAACTTTTTTACTTTATTTTGTTTTTACTTACACTTATTTATTTCCTTTTCTCTTTTCTTATCTTTATTCTACCACTAATATATTTTTGAGAAAATAGCCCCAAAATAGGACTAAATTAATCCCTAAATGCAAAAATAGGACTATGTTATTTACTTATTTATCTTCTCAAAATAGAGCTAAAGTACCATCTATCTTCTTATTCTACATTTCTACCCTTACCATAACTTAATAGGATAATCATATTTTACATTATAATATTAAAAAATAACAAAAGATATCTCAATTTATAAAAATATAGGAAAAAAATAAAAAGAAAGTTAAAACAATTTTTTAATGTTTTTATCTGTTTTTATTTATTTTTAAGGTTTTCTTTAAATTAGTTTTTATCACTATTTATTATTTTTAAAACATTGTTAACTATATTTTTATTTTGTTACTATATTTTAATAAATTGAAATATCTTTTGTTATTTTTCCTTTTTATTATAATGTAAAATATGATTATCCTATTAAGTTATGGTAAGGGTAGAAATGTAGAATAAGAAGATAGACAATACTTTAGTCCTATTTTGGAAAGATAAATAACATAGTCCTATTTGTGCTTTTCAGAATTAGTTTAGTCCTATTTTGGGACTAGTTTCTCAAATATATATTAGTGGTAGAAAGAGGGGAAATGAAATAAATAAGTGTAAGTTAAAAGAAAGTAAAGTTAAAACGTTAATACGGTGAGAAAAACATCTTTTATAAGGAAACTAATCCGAAAAAATATATAAAAATGAAAATGAAATAATAAACGGGAAGAAAAAAGAAGAAAAACTGGAATACATAAACATTGAAAAAAAATAAAAATAAAAATTGAAAAGTAATAAAAATAAGAATAAGAAGACCAAAAAGGGGCATAAAAAAGTCAAGACAATAAAAATAAAAAAAGGAAATTTTTTAGGAAGAAAAAAGAAAAATGATACCTGAGACCGTTTGGTGAAGATTTGTGAAAGGTGAGATTTATGGTTGAAAGATTTGCAAAGAAAATGAAAAAACCTGAAATAGCAAGTCATCAACCGATCAGGGACTAGAGAATTAAGATGGGGTGCAAAGGTTGGATTATTAATGAATAACGAAAACGTAGGACCATTGTAAGAATACCGCTAAAAGGTTGGATTATTAATTTACATTTTCCCTTTGTATTTCGGATTATACAAATTTTTTAATCTAGTGCACAATTTTAAATACTCCTTCAATATTTTAATGCTCACTACATTAGGTTGGGCACATTATTTAAGGAGTAAAGTAGTAGGAGTACTCCTATTAGTGTAGAAAAAGTAGGAGAGAATGTGTAAAAGTATGAAAGAGGAGATAAAAAGTAGATAAAGTAAGGATAGATGAGTATTTTATAAATTCAAGGGTAAACTTACCAAAAATGAAAGTATATAGAACTTTTAAATACAACTAAAAAAGTGTAAGAAACTTGTAAATAGAGAGGGAGACCATTAGGAAATGGTCCGTCCCATCAAACTTATAGATTATTTTATTTTAAGTCATTTAATACTGTTGGGTTAAGGGCCCAAGCCGAGGTCCGGCCCACTAACCCCTTTTTACCCAACGTACGTCCAGGTATACCACAAGGCCAGCCCACAGGCCCATGTTCCTTGAAGATGGACGAACGTCTGGGGTTGGAAGTTCAGGCCCAGCGGCTCATCCGGACGAACGTCTATGCAGGGACAAGGAGCAGGGCCACGGGCCACCAGGGATGACGACGAACGTCCCCATGGCAACCCTATGGTCATCGGAGGAAACCCAGTACACATGGTGAATATCTATCAAGGCCAGGAGACGAACAGCCGGTATCTCTTGAGGGTCATTTGGAGCGATCCAACCCACTTCCCGGGCGGACGAACGTCCCCACTGATTAGGCGGGAAGCCTAGATTCTGGCGGGAAGTGCATTTAATGCTGAAGATTTGGTGGTTGGGGCACCAGCGGTCCACAGGCTGCCACGTCAGTACAGCCACCTGCCCATTGGTGGGTATAAATAGAAGCATTTATTTCATTGTAAAGGGTTGGCAACTTTCTATTCTTAGCATTCTAGCTTTAGCATTCTTACTCGCAGCATCTCTAACTGCCTTGTAAGACGAACGGCCGACGTGCCTTTTTAGCAAGTAGATTGTACTTAGGGGGGTTATTACGAAGTTAATAATACCTATTTACATTGCCTGCTATTTCCTTTGCCTCCCTGATCCATCTGATAGTTGTTGGGCTAGATATTCATACACTCACTCCACTCGAAATCTTTGGGCTTACGTGTTGGGCCTGAAGGTTGAAGGAATAAACCTCAACAAATACTTTAATGGTTCAATTTCTTTTGTTCATAAGCAAGACATGGTCATGATCCTTTCTCTCTAGGCGAGAGGTTCTCACTTTAGACGGCCGCCTCCCTTAGGATTAGCGGTTGTTTGTCTCCACTTTCGTCTTCAATTCGACGAAGTGCGGCTTTCTTGTGCGGCTTTCGTCCACCTTTCGTGAGGCTCTCTTCTTTGGCAGACCGCAGCGCCTACATGGCGGCCAAAGATTGTGTGTCCCTAGCAACAGGTGAAGAGGTTCGAGGTTGCCGCTCATGGTTGAGATAAAAAGTTCATGGACGAAGCGTGGGGTTAGGGGTTGGAACAGATCTGGATCGGAGGCAAGAAGCGAAAGATGCTTCAGTACTATTGGACTGTCCCCCTCTTGAACCGCCGTCATGGAGTGCAGGAGAGTTTAAGGATTGGAAGCAGTATTTTAATTTTATTGTTTGCTTGCCATTTATTTTTCATGATCAGACTGTTTATTTTTCTGTTGGTTACTTTTATTGTTATTAGACTCTTGCATTAGGATTGGGTGATGAGAGGTCTGCTTTAACCGTCGTTTGCTCATTTATGCCGATTATAGGATCAACAAATTATATTGCTTTTCTGGAGGTGATTGACTCTAAGTCTGGTTCGAGGGTTGACGGTTGTCTGTTGTCCTTTTGTTGTTTTACCCTCTATCTAAATGTCGTGATATCAATTTAAGTCATCTGTTTTGATAATAAAACAAGTCTTTTGTTCTATACTTTTGTTCATTAGTATTAATTAACTATTGATTATAACAATTAATCCGTGTTCTTTTTTTGGACTAGTGTGAAAATAGAGACAACAAAATGGAGTTATTACCATTAAATATTTACTTTAATATGATCTAAGAGTATGTTTCTAAAACTGAGTTTTGGGGAACATGTAGTAGGGTAGTTAACATGATTTTTTTTGCATATCCTTCTAAACCTATTGAAATGAGACTTGAAACTGTGATCTTTTATTTGAGAGATGAACAATGATGTTATCAAAGCGCAAGATACTTGACGTTAACATGGTTCTTAATTGTTCCAAAATTGGAGAATCCAAAGAGTTTTGAGGAGTATAGACCTATATCTCTATATGCCTCGCAAATATAGAGATAACACTGTAGTTGGTATCCTACTATTCTAACACCTTTGTGATGTTAACTGTGGTCTAGTGGTCGAAACAAAATACGGAGTATCAAGTGTCTTTTAATCTATAATAAAGCTAAAGGGTTGTGAGTGTACTTTACTTGGACTCTGAAGATAGGAGGGCTCAGAAAGCTTAAATAATGAAATTGCTTGCTCTATTATTTAGCTGAACGTTTCTTACTTTGTGCTCAGAAAGCTTAAATAATGAAATTGCTTGCTCTATTATTTAGCTGAACGTTTCTTACTTTGTGCTTAGAAAGGTAGATATAACTGAATTTGCTGACTTATGAGATTAATTAATTAATTAGAAAGTCTTTATACTGATACTTTGACTAGTTATTTGTTTTTGTTTGAAAAGTTATTTCGGTTTAATTTTGACCTAACTAAAGACATTGATGAAAATCTAGAGTGTTTCACTAGTAGAAAACTGGCTTACAGTGACACTTTGATAGTGACACTTTCTGATAAAATGTTGCCAGTAACATATAAACGTCACTAGTTTCTAACACAAGTACATCAGTGTCATTTACCGACGCTTTCTACGGAGTATCATAACCATTCTAATAACGGGCCGGCCCACAGAGTACTATTTCAACCCTTAGGGTTTTTCCACTCCCTATTCCAGATCAGTTTACATCTGCGCATCTCTTTCCCTTCCTTCTACGAACTCCATCGCTTCCCAACTTAATCCTCGCGAGTCTTCTTTGCCAGGTCTGTGCTTCTTCCTCAACGGTTCTATTCAAATTCCAGGTAAGTGGTTAGTTCTTTATCGATTCTGAGTATTCTTGACGAGATTTCCTTCAAAGAAATTGAAGAGCGCAATTGATTTGAAATGGGAGCCAAGTAGATTTTTCTTTCTATTTCGTCATTTGTTAGGTCAAAACTCAAGAGTGACTACTGATTCAATATGCGCCGCACCTCTTCTCCTACTAAGCGAACGACAACATGTCATCCTCACGAAGCAACAACCGTAATCAATTTCCAGCGAGGAGGTGCTCGGAAACCACATCAATGAACATCATGCTTGGTAAAGAAAGTATTAGTTTTATTCAGTCCCATATTCTATCTATGTTGCAAGTTTTTGGATTGTTCTAGCTAGCATTCAAAACCCTAATTTCGTTTAAAACTTTAAAATTGATGCCTATGTGTTTGTGGAAAAGCCTAAGAAAAGGAAAAGAAAAAATGGAACAAGAGGAAGTTTTACATTGGTTTTCTTTATGTTATCTTTGGTTTCTACAGTTTTACAATTTCTTTTAGCTTATGCCCCCATCACTCAGATCATTTTTTGCCTCCAAAATATATTCTGTGCATTTATATTTTTTAAACCACTTAGGTTAAATGTACTAGGAGACTTGTAGTACCTTCAAGTATGGAAGATAGATTGTAAAAAATAAACTAGTTGAACTCAAATGGATACATAAAACTTTTGTTTGGATAATATTTGGGTAACTTAAATGAAAGTAGTAATAACTTGTTTAGATGAAGGTTATCTTAGATGAATTGGTTAAATTTATCATACTTAATGCAAGTCATTTTCTTCATAACTTCTCTAGATGTGACTAAACTATACCATTTTAAAGTAAAAAACCGAACACATAAAAAATGAAGTGATCTTGGTTTTTTTTCTATGGTAACTTTCATTGTTTTGCTATGCTGATTGGCGGTGGAGTATAAGACTAACTTTGGATGTTGTTTTTTGGACGGTAAAGTATGTATATTGGTATATATTTGAGATTTTACAAAAACTAATTAAACTAATAACATAACAAATTTGTAAAATATAGAGTTGTATGTCACTTAGGTTTTTTCTGAATTTTATTATACTAAATATATGCCGTTATGTGTTTTTGTAAGTGAATAGTGGTGTAAATTAGTCTTTTGGTTATTAACACTAATGACTGAAATACTTCCAAAAGATATTTTAAAAAGAAAAGCTATGATTTTCCACTTCAAGTATTCTACATATTGTCTCTTTAAAGTTTGTTCTATCATTTGTTATTAAAGTATATGATACTATGAACTAAGTTCAACTACTTTTGAAAAGCAGTTCAGCCTGACTTTTAGACCACAGTTCCCGGTTAATACCAGAAGGATTTGTTTCATACATCTCTTCAACGTTCAAAACTTCTTGCTCCTTTTTATGACTTCTTAAAAATGTTACCAAAAACCATTTTATTCCATTCCCTAGATCCTGTTTAAGCTGCTATAATTGACTATAGAAACCTCTCACCCCCCCCCCCAACATTCCGAGAATGAGACCAACTGTTTTCAACTATTTTCATAAAAGAGTGATGATTAATCCACATATTCTGAAACCGAAATGGCTTATAACCCTCAAAACAGTTTCCTTGCATATCGATCAATTCGATTGCACTGCATACTCTGATTTTAGTTTGGCTTTTAGTTTTTGCATCGAAGAAAACCAATTTTGAATCCATTTTTCTTTCCAAAACAGAAGAGGATTGAGGTTAGGACGTGAATCTGTCATTGATGGAAAGATCAAAGATGGACTATGGGGCGTTTACAATGAATTTGGGATGGGACTATGTGTTGAACTGTGTGCTGATCAGTATCAATTCACAAGGGAAGAGCTGGTACTTTTTTCCTACCTTAATCATCTCCCAAGAATATTTTTTCTATGTTTACTTTTTCTCTCAATTCATAGAGCTCATGAGTTTAATTTGATAGTTTCCTTGTGAAGGAGTATATGAACAAACAAAACACGACAAATTAAGACTCAAGACTCTGCCTCATCCATGTTATATTGATAAACATTTCATGCAGTAAGAAAGCAACAAAGATGAGTAACAATGGGGTGTTATATACTTGCAGGGTAGAGCACTAGCAATTGTTGATCTGTAGCTTTTAGGTGCATATGCAGAAGCACTAAACAATCTTGGCCACTATCTAGATAATGTAGCTTTTAAGGTCAGGCTTACTAGTAATTTAAATTGGGTTTAATCCATTTTAAATTGCCAAAGATTGCCTTGAAGTATGCTTTCTGAACTTTATTTTGTCTATTATTTAAAAATTTCCTTCATTCATACTTTTGTAGGCATCATACATTCCTCTATTGACTAAGATTATTACTTTCTTTTTTGAAGTGTTAGTGTACTCAAACAAGTACATAATACGTAGTAATACTTATGAATTTTCTCATTGATTTTTTTTTTAATAAATGTATTCAAGTCATTGCAACTTATCTATGACCATCAATATAATACTTATGAATTTTCGTTTTAGTTAGAAAGTTTCTCCTGGAGAGGTCTCATCTTTGTCAAGTATTCAATCTTTAGCAGAACTATCACCGTATCAGTGTATCTACCTTCTTTGTGTAGCACCAAAAGAGGTAACTCATCTAAAACCTTTCTGCACATCATAATATCTTATATTTGGTAATTCAATTGTGATCCTCATATTTTTGTTTAATTTAAAATTTGACATTTCTTCTATTTTTCTCAAATTTCTTTTTATTCCATCATAAAATTACACATATTTCACCCAAATTAAAATAGTTTTTCAAGTGGATAGGAACCTTTTACTCTCAATGGATGCCTAAATTTGTTGCATCAATATGCTGCATACACATGCATACTGCACTTTTTGTGGTGTGTATTAATTAAGTACTTTTTAGTCACATTTGGAATACTCAAATGATTGAGTTTATGACATGACTGATAGTGAAGTTTGGATCTTTTTTTAGAGCTTCTGCAGCCAAGGGGG